CTTTAAAAGCTTGCCATTTCAACTGAGCTTTTTGTGAACACTGTTGACTTGACTTGGAAAAATATGATTCATAAATACTATTTGCGCCTGTTATACCAAATTACCCTGTTATTTCCTTTTAGGGGCACCTGACATCCCATTTAGCTCAGTTTCTTGAGAAATAGGAGAATGTCAATGCTATCCCAGCGTGAGCTATCAAGCTCTTACCATAAAATCATACCATGCAGTACTTCATATTTTCACATGAAAGCATTTCACTTCCCATGATGAGCGCGTGTGGAAACTGGGATTAGGAATGTGAAATCTACCACATTTTGGCCATATATCCCAATGGCCAAAATGTGGTAGATCATCAAATGTAATCAAGTTTTGTATGTACCTGTATGTGCCTGTTTCTAAAAGGGATAACATTTCTACCTGGCACAGCATCAAAGACTTCTTCTTCTTTCAAACAACTATGTGATCACATAATGCATAACGCCTGGCTTTATATCTGCAAATCCCTAAGGCATAACACCTCGTCTGCATGACAGAAACCGAACTCGATGTCTGCAAACACAGTCAAACCACACAAAGGAGAAAGTTCTGCAGGGGAGCCACTTTTAATTGTAACATTATCTTGGGATGTAAAATCCCTTTTGGACAAAAAATGGAAGCTATAGCTGAGACCAAGTGAAGTGTTTAATACAAGTACCATATTCCAAAGGCGTGTGACAAAAGGTGAATGCAGCTAATGGGGCAAACAAATGGGGAGCAAACCTGAGAAAGAAGAAAAACAAACTGTCTTATTAGAAACAGACATTTTGTCAAATAAAAACGAATCATAAAACATAAATTAGGCATTGACAAATATGACCTTGATCTGAGAGGAATTTAAAAACAACCAAACAACCCAGTCAATGACAAGCAAACACAAGGTAAAAGCACTTTTATGACAATTTGGTTTATTTGCTGGAAGATTATATGGTCAAAACTGAGCATCTAGATTCAAGTCCGGGAAGGTTTTTGGTCATACATAGCAACATATTGAATACCACACTGACTCATAATAGCTGTGTGCAATTAAAGGCTCCCATCAGAGTCCCAACTGAATTAACTAATCATGTCTGTGCTTCACAGCCCTCTTGATGGCTCTCTCGCCTTTTATCAGTAGAGCTTTTATTTACATATGAAGACATTTAAGTTTATTGTAATAAAATTTTGCAAGACGAGGCCAACTTTTTAAAAATCTGTAAAATCAAAAGTTTCCCAATAAGAGCATTAGAACTCCAAAAGCACTAAAAATAATTAATTTTAAACTTACCTTCAACATGTGGATGTAATATCTGTATTTTAATGTTGTGTTTTTATCGTAATGTGCTGGTACAAAACAAAGTACAAATATTCTGTGCAGATTTGAAGAGAAAATTAAACTAAATATGGTTTTGCTTTGTTTTTTTTTTTCTTTTCACAGACGAAAATTGCACTTACTTCAGGCACTTCACTCCAGGACAGGATGCTGAGATATTTGAATATAAAACACAAAAAGGTATGTTTTTTTGTTTGTTCGTTTTTGCTCCCTTTGGTAATTGCTTTGGCCTATTCTGTCTTAAAACACTGAAATAATAAGTTGCTTTCATCTCTGAATTTATGTAGTAAAAATGTTCCTTCCTCTGTGTGAAGTAAACATCAGACAAGTCGAAATGTAGCAGTTGCTTCGCGATTTTCCAAATAATCTCACTTGCTTCTGCTTTTCTCCGTGTGGGTTCAGTTATGTTTCACATCTGACCACAGCACAGTCGGCAGTGTCACAGCAGGCAAACTCGACCGTCTATCAATGTCAGAACATCTCACGGGACTTGGAGAAATCTGAAATCTGACTTGTTTCTTTTTTTCTTTCTTTCTTTCTCCAGCTGACCAATATCTATTTTCAATTTCTCTGTATAACATGCAATAGTCTGCCTCAGTAGTTTTTCAAGTTCTTGTTGTTTCCCCTGATGGTCAGAAGCTGTGGATCATAAGTCCCGAAATTTTGTGCTTTAGCAAAATATATCTTGTACATACATTTGTTCAGCTGTGTATGTTTTCTCCTCCTTGTACAACAGCCCTCCCATGCAGAGGCATGCAGAGAGTGTGGTCAGAAGTTTATATAACCAAAAATTGTGTGTATGCATGTATTTGAACCTGTATATATATACTTTTGATTAGATTAGATTAGATTAGATTAGACAAAAATCAAAGAAAAATCAAATCTGTTTACCTAATCCTTGTTACTCTTTGAAATCATTAAAAAAAGTGTGCTGTACAGGTCAAAGAAATCACTGAAAGCCCCAAATTACTATCACATTTGTGTTCATGATGAGTGCATGTAAACCTCTGACCACAACTGCACGTGGAGCACTGTCAGACTCTGCTATTGGGGTCTAAATGTGCACAAACCCCTTACATCTTAAAACTTGAGATGTTAACGTAAGCATTCATGGCTTGAGATCCTGATGGTGTGCAAGACTCAAACTACATGGTACATGTACTGTGTTACTACAGGCACATCTGTACAGTGAGCTACTTTAGGGCATGTAGGGATGCTCCCAGTGAAAATGTAAATGAAGTGAAAATTTGAAAAGTTGAGAGTAAAAGAGATGATCAGGTTAATGGGCTCAGACATTTGGAGTTTCTTTTTAAACTGTCTCTTTCAGCAGGGTGGTTATATTGATGCATCCAATACTGTATGTATTAATATGTACTCATACCTAATCTGCTAAATTTGGAGAGTGACATAAAGTGTACGCTCAATAGCAAAAAATAAAAATAAATCCTATTCCAGTACACATTAAAAGAAAGGAACCTTGCCAAAGAGATTAATACATCTCACAGCAATCACTGCAATGTGTAGCAACACTGTGAATTTGAACGTGGCTTGACCAGTTCCTCATAATACTGCCCCTTTCTGTGTTGGACGGTTAAATTTAGCACATGAAAAGTTCATGTTTCTGCAGGCTGAAAAATTTCTGAGCAGTGCAGTGAAGCAAGTGCTGTATGAATAAAATGCAGAAAGCTTTTTGATGTCTATGTTGCTCACGCTATGTGAGAATCCATGGTTTTGCAGACTTAGACACCAACCTCTAACACACATGGTTTATGTTAAAGAGCTGTTCAGGGTGCAGCCCATCCTCCCCTGCCAGTAGAAGATGAAGGCTTTTCCCCCCCAAAGGGGTGCCTTTCTCTCCCTAGGGTATGGTTCACAGGCAAACAGGCTACAGATCAAAGGCCTGGGTTCCTATCTACCTGTCTGCTCAGAAACCTAGCCAGCTGCTGTTGTACACTCTAAATGAAAGACCAGAATCCATTTATATTAGTGCACCCAATTTCAAAGACTTTGTATTTATAATAAAAGCAATGGAGAAGTTAGCAGGTGTTTTTCTTTGGGGAACTAATCTAAAGACCCAAAGCATTCATTCATCCATCCACCCCAGGTTGTTAGCTATCTAGTCACAGGCCCAGATAGCCAAAACCTGACATAGCCTATTTTGCATAGACTTCTATTAGTGTTCAAATACAAATGGTGAGTTACACAGTATCACCATACAATAATATCACCCTGTTATCATGACCCTGGGCACAATAGTGTACTTTAAATCTGCCCTGCTACTCCTAAAAACTAACCAGAGTACCAAATACCACAAAATAACAATACTTTCAGCTACTAAAGTGTTAATTTCGTTGGCTAAGTAATTTCACCATAGTTTTCATTCACAAAGTTCTTTTTTTGACGAAAACGAGATGATAACTAAATAAAAAACAACCCATGAGGACAAAAAAATATGATGAAACGTGCTCAGACATGCGTGGACGAATAAAAACGAGACGAAAATATTCTGGTTACATGAGGTCCAATTACAAAGAATTAAGGTATGTAGAGAGGCGGGACAAGTTTGGAAGCGATCCAATCAGAAATAATCACCTTGTGCAGCAAGGTTAGACACGCAATGTTTGATCTGTCGCCAACAAACAAGGTGGGAAGCACCCACACTCTCTGCTTCTCATGAATGCTACAAAATGGGACAAAAGTACACGTATGGATACATTTCGCATTTGATGTCAAGAAAAACCCCTTTGTAAACCCGTGGAGAAAATTTCAGCAGAAAAAAACGAGACAAATTTTTACACAGTCAACTGAATCAACTTCAAAATTAGTGTACGATAATCTCGTGATATCGTACACTAAACCTAACTAAACTAAACCAACTAAAACTAAAAGACTTTAGATGTAAAAGTAAGCAAAGTTTCGAAAAAAAAAAAAGATTATTTTGTATTTTAATTAAAAAAAATGTTTATTTAATTTTTGAGTAAAGTTTAACTTTCTAGTTGCTTTATAATTATAAATAGAAATTAAAGTATATAGTTCGTTTCTTTAAAAAGCATTATTGTCTTCTGCTGGAGCCCAAAAACCTTCATGGACAACAGAGAGACAAGAAAAGCCAGAAAACCTGAAGAGGCGAAGGCATGGATGACAGGTTAATAATAATTTGTCACAGCCGATTTGGAGCTCTGTTGCCTGCAAGTAGAAGAAAAAAACACTTCAGTATTAAAGTATCTACATTTGTTGCCTGTCAGGTCATGTCTTTGTCATTCAGCATTAATGAGACTTTCACAGATGCACTAATCCGCCAGTGGCAGATCCAGGAAATTTTACAACGTGACTGTAAAATTGACTGACATTTTTCATGGGAACCATTTTCTGACCCTTTTTTTTTTTTGTCTTTCCAGAGTACAACATCTCTGCTGCAGCCATCTCCATCTTCAGTCTGGCCTTCATGATCCTTGGCTCTCTTTGTTTGGTGGGCTCATGTACTGGTACAGGCAAAAAAAGAGACTACCTCCTTAAACCTGCTGGCATGTTTTTTGCATTTGCAGGTGTGTTCAGTTTCTGTTTCACAGTCGTTTTCCTTTTATGTTCAGTGTGTGTTTCATATTTGGTGAGCATGGAAATCTGCGAGTGCCACAGGTGTTACTATAAGCCGTGTCTAATGTTTAAGCATCACTCTCTTTCTCAGGTCTCTGTGCATTCATCTCACTGGAGGTGATGCGTCAGTCAGTGAAGCGCATGATCGAGAGCGAGGAGACAATTTGGATCGAATACTACTACGGCTGGTCCTTTGCTTGTGCCTGCACTGGCTTTGTCCTCCTCTTTCTCTGTGGCATTGCACTCTTGTTCCTCTCCATGCCTCAGATGCCCAGGAATCCATGGGAAAACTGCATGGACGCCGAGCCGGAACAAGTTGAGTGATAGCAAGACATACGGACAAATGCAGGAAAAGAATGACTTGTCTTTTATTTTGAATGCAGATGTTAGATTCAACGACATCAGCTTGTCATCAGAGAAGAAACCACAGTGTAAAGAGCGGCCCTTTGTAATGCCTGCAATTTTGTGTTGTAGGCCACAGTTGCTTAAAACCTGCTCTACTCGTCACTAAGAGCTTACATTTCCCACATGGGATTTAGTAGTATTTTTTAAGATATTCCTTTCCCCCTCCAACTCATGATTTAGTGCTGGCATGTTTTTACTGGTGAAAAGTTACGATATTATGACCATGGTCTTACTAGCTCCCCCATGTGTCACTCCTTAGTTAAAAAGACAAACATTTTCAGCATTAATGGCCTGACATCCAGGTCAGGTGATTTTATGTACTGCATTATGTATGATATCGTGTACATAGCTAATGTGCTTCTGTATTTTTTATGGCATCACTCCAAGAAGCCCTCTTATACTGTCAATTAAGTCATTTTTTAGCCTATAGCTTAAACTGTCTTATCTCTAATGATAAATAAAAGAAAGAAAAAACATCATTTAAAGTTAAATAATTGCACATTAAGTCCAGAACTTTATGAGTAAAGGAAAGCTTTGAGCAAACTACTTGCTCAGAGTCTGGGTATATGTGTCTGTAGCAAGCTGAATGCTAAACACCCAAAGTCTGCAGCACCAGTCATGTTGGAAAAGGTTCAGTTCTAGCAGGTGCACATACAAGGCCTTGACAGCTTCCATGCCAAACTGATACAAAACATGTCTCTGTTCATTTTCATGGTTTGTTATGACCCGTCTGACCCATGTGGCGAATGTCCATTTGCATCTATACACGCTGTTAGCATAGATAACAGAAAAAAAAAAAGCCACAGATTCATGGTCTTTTACTGAATTGTAACCCTACATGCAGAGTTTCAGAGAGATGAGCGCCAATTGAATTTTATTTCAGTTGTAAATGATGTCACGCTGTGCAATCACACAATGTGCAAGCGGCAAACTAACAGAGTGATGGAGCTGCACTATATTTTCAGATTATGAGCACGGACTTTAGCTGATGTTTACTTGCAGTTTATAATTCAGTTGTAACAGCGTAACAGTCCACATTAAGGAGTGAAAGTTGGTCAGTGACCATCCTATTTGGTGAGGGATTTGAACTAAATTAGGTCACCTGGGTTTAAAAAGCAAAAATGTACAGGACATTATTAGAATAAATCTTTTCTGTGTAGCCTGTATTGTGCAACACCAACCAAGGGGATATAAAAGAGAACAAGCAGCATGAAGTTCGCAGCCAGACACTTACAGAACTTCT